TGGAGCGGCGGGACGGCAGTGAGGGGAGCGGCGAGCGGCGCGGCGCTTAGGGGAGGCTGCAGTCCGGGGCGGGACGCATTGTTTCCCCAGGGGACCTCCCAGGCCAAGCCTGCACCGGCGCCCGCGGGGCCCCCCCGGACACCGTGAGCTCCAGCCGCCTTCTGGCGCCGCTGCCACCCGGAGCCCCGGGACTGCAGCAAGGACCACGGCCCGCCGCGCTGGGTGGGCAGGCCTTCCCCTACGAGCCCCGGCACGCCGCCCCCTCTGTCCCACACGGAGCCTGCAGCGGTATTTTAAGATCTCTGTGGTGAACCGAGACTAGAAATGAATCTGTGAATCCACCACCGAAACAGTGTATGTTTGTAAATAGTGTTCTCTTCCCTTCCCGGCCTCTCTTGTCGTGGGAGGGATGTCAAGTGGGCTGGAAGGGCCATTAACTCTTACATAAGAATTTAATAGCAATGGTTTCTGTCATCCTGCCAAATGCAGACCTCGCTGCCAGGGCGGAACTGGGCGAATCTGATTTATTCTGTTTGGTTCAACAAGTGCTTAAGATGCGCTCACCGAGTGCCAGGCATTTTGAAGCGTACAGAAGTCAAAAATCCAGAGTTTAGATGCAGGAATCTTTCGATTTTGCTTAAATCTAGAAATCCACTTATTGGAAGATGTACTGAGGTTTTACTGTGTGCAGGGTGCTGTTGAGGACACACAGAAACATGCATAGCATGATGCAGAAGCACACGCTAAGGTGGAAAAGAGGGCGTGGAGACTTATTATGCTAGAAAGTGTGGGGCAGATGCTAGAAGAGGCCTCGTCCGCCTCCACCAGGTGCCAAGCTATGGGCCTGATGTTAAGACGCTACCCTTGACTCTCAAACAACACGGGTTTGAACTGCACGAGTCCATTTACACGTGGCTTTTTTTCAACCAAAGTCTAATTGAAAATACAATATTCATGCTCTGGCACAGTGGCTTACGCCTGTAATCCCAACACTTTGGGAGGCTGAGGCGGGAGGATCACTTGAGGCCAGGAGTTCAAGACCAGCCTGGGCAATGTAAAGAAACCCCACCTCGCCAAAAAAAAAATTAAAAAAATAGCCGGGCATGGTGGCACGTGTCTGTAGTCTCAGTTACTGGAGCGGCTGAGGTGGGAGGATCCCTTGAGCCTGGAAGGTTGAGGCTGCAGTGAGCCATGTTCACACCACTGCACTCCAGCCTGGGCAACAAAGCAAGACCCTGTCTCAAAAAAAAAAAAAGAAAAAGAAACAAGAAAAGACAGTATTTGGCAGGTTAAAAATGGGAGATCCAACTTTTCCTATTTGTGGGTTCTGCAGAGCTGATCGTCAGATTTGAGTGTGAATGGTTTTGGATGATCCTGGAGCCAGTCCCCTGTGTACACTGGAAGACAGCTACTTCAGCCCCACCTTATTGTAGAGCCAGCTATCTCAGTCCACCTCTGAAGGGCCTGTTTCATCTTTCCTCCTCTCCATTCCTACTGCTGCAATCTCACTTTGCCTGTCCATTCACTTGTTCAACAAATGTGTTCTGAGCGCCCTACTATGTTACAAACACTGTTGCAGGCTTTTGCCTACAGACTTTTGGCTGCTGCCCAGAAAGAGGTGAAATTTCCAGCCCTCTGGGGCTTAGAATCTAGGTCTGTGCATACCTCTTCACTTTTGGGCTACTGAGACATCTTCTTAACCTTCCTAGCTTTGCCTTCCTCTAATCACTCCTAAATCCAGCTTCCAGACTAATTTTTCACAAAATTAGAACTTTATCCGTTAATCATGCATGCTATTCTATTGTTCAAAAAACTCTCAGGCTGGGCGCAGTGGCTCATGCCTGTAATCCCAGCACTTTGGGAGGCCGAGGCGGGCAGATCACCTGAGGTCGGGAGTCCCAGACCCACCTGACCAACATGGAGAAACCCCATCTCTACTAAAATTACAAAATTAGCCAGGCATGGTGGCACATGCCTGTAATCTCAGCTACTAGGGAGGCTGAGGCAGGAGAATCGCTTGAACCCAGGAGGCAGAGGTTGTGGTGAGCTGAGATCATGCCGTTGCACTCCAGCCTGGGCAACAAGAGCCAAACTCCGTCTCAAAAACAAACAAGTAAACAAACAAAAAACCACTCTGGCCTACCCTATTTAATATTACCTCCCACCATTCCTGAAATTCTTCACTTTATCCAGGACCTTTTCACAAGCAAGATGCCATCCCTATGCTAAGCCATTGCTCTGGCAGTTTCTGTCAATGGGAATTGTAGAGGGTTGAATTTGTATCTCCCAAAAAGGTATGTACAAGCCATAACCTCCAGTACCTGTGAATGTGACCTTATTTGGAAACAGGGTCTTGGCAGAAATAATTAAGTTAGGATGAGGCCATACTGGGTTAGGATGGGCCCTAAATCCAATGACTAGTGTCTTTTTTTTTTTTTTTTTTTTTTTTGAGACAGAGTCTCGCTCTGTCGCCCAGGCTGGAGTTCAGTGGCATGATCTCAACTCACTGCAACCTCCACTTCCAGGTTCAAGCAATTCTCCTGCCTCAGCCTCCCAAGTAGTCGGGACTACAGGCGTGTGCCATCATGCCTAGCTAATGTTTGTATTTTTAGTAGAGATGGGGTTTTGCCATGTTGCCCAGGCTGCTCTCGAACTTCTGACCTCAGGTGATCCACCCACCTCGGCCTCCCAAAGTGTTGGGATTACAGGTGTGAGCCACCGCGCCTGGCCTGACTAGTGTCTTTATTAGAGAAAGGAGAGGGGGATTTGGATACACAGGGAGGAAGACCATGTGAAGACAGAGGCAGAGATTGGAGTGATACAGCCACAAGCCAAGGTTTGCCAGGAGCCAGCAGAAGCTAGGAAGAGGAAAGGAAGCCTCCAGAGGAAACGTGGCTCTGCTGACACCTTGATTTGAGACTTCTAGCCACCAGAACTGTGAGACACTAAATTTCTGTTGTCTTATGCCACCCAGTTCATGGTCATTTGTTACAGCAGTCTTAAGAAACTAATATAGAGGCCAGGTGCAGTGGCTTATGCCTGAAGTCTTAGCACTTTGGGAGGCCAAGGTGGGAGGATCACTTGAACCTAGGAGTTTGAGACCAGCCTGGGCAACATAGGGAGACTCTATCTCTACAAAAAATAAAAAATTAGCCAGGCGTGATGGCATGTGCCTGTGGTTCCAGCTACTTGGGAGGCTGAAGCAGGGGGATTGCTAGAAAGCCTAGGTCAAGGCTGCAGTAAGCCATGATTGTACCACTGCACTCCAGCCTGGGCAACAGGGTAGACTCAGTCTCAAAAAAAAGAAAGAAAGAGAGGAAGGAAGAAAGAAAGAAAAGGGAGGAGGGAAGGAAGGAAGGTTGCTTATACAAAATTTAATCAATCCCCTCTGTGTCTCATTTTCTCCTTCTCCCTCATTCTCTGCCAGATCATGAAAGCCTTGAGTGCCTGAGAAATTTCATGTTTATTGCAAAGGCAATAGAAACTGAATGAAGCATTTGAATTTGGAGCCAGGGATTGACATATTCAGAGCATTGATTCAGGGTAATTAATTTGGCAACACTGTATCCATCCAGAGGGCTATTGTAGTCATCCAGATGAGAGGTGATGATGATAGCGTGAACAAAGCCAATGATAGCACAAATGGAGCAGAAGGAACAGATGCAGAACTTACTGCAGTGAGAAAAGTGGAACAATTTAGCAACCAATGGGATGTGAGGATTGAGGGAGGCGAAGGATTGCAAGTGACTGAGAAAGGGATTGGGAGGATGATGGCCCGTAACACCATGAATGGATGAGAAGAATAGGTCTTAAGGTGAGAGGGGCATGATTCATTTGGTGTTACAGGTTAAAAAAGCAGTTCCTGGCTAGGCACGGTGGCTCACGCCTATAATCCTATAAGCACTTTGGGAAGCCGAGGCGGGCAGATCACGAGGTCAGGAGATCGAGACCACAGTGAAACCCTGTCTCTACTAAAAATACAAAAAATTAGCCGGGCGCAGTGGCAGGCGCCTGTAGTGCCAGCTAGTCGGGAGACTGGGGCAGGAGAATGGCGTGAACCCGGGAGGCGGACCTTGCAGTAAGCCAAGATTGAACCACTGCACTTCAGCCTGGGCGACAGAACAAGACTCCGTCTCAAAAAAAAAAAAAAACAGTTCTCACTGCTTCTTTGCAGAATGACTCTTCTTTCTGCTTTCCCAACCCTTTCCAACTTTAAAGACCAGATTAGTCCTCACCTCTTCTATGAAGAGTTTACTAGTCTGGGCATGGTGGCCCATACCTGTAATCCCAGCATTTTGGGAGACTGAGGTGGGCGGATCACTTGAGTCCAGGAGTTCAAGACCAGCCTGGCCAATCCAGTGAATCTCTGTCTCTACTAAAAATACAAAAAAATTATCTGGGCATGGTGGCACATGACTGTAATCCCAGCTACTTGGGAAGCTGAGGTATAAGAATTGTTTGAACCCAGGAGACAAGAGGTTGCAGTGAGCCAAGATCATGCCACTGCACTCCAGCCTGGGTGACAGACTAAGACTCTCTCTCTCAAAAAAAAAAAAAAAAAAAAATGTGTTTACTAAACATTTATTTTTCAAATCAGTTTAGCCTTACATCATTAGGAATTATGCCTTTTTAGAGTTTGAAGGTGCCTTTGGGGGTCCTGTGGACCTTTTTACAACAGCCCCCAAAGTGGCCACCCATTCTGTGCTT